TAAAATTAAGAAGAGGCTATGAAAATCGAGAAGCAGTTGGAAATCATTAAAGGAATAACTATCTCTTGTGGTAAAATCATGTTCTGCTCGTTTCAATTTTTGGATGGGATAGAGCATATTGGCTTCCTGTAATGAAATCTGGTAAGTGGCAGCTCTGGAGTTTGAGCTGTCTGTCTGACACCAAGAGTCAGTCTGGGGAGGTGAGGTCTTCGCCAGGGCAGCTTGGCCTGGAGCTTCTCTGCTTCCTTCCCCAGGGCTGACCTCGCAGCAGCCGTGCGCACAGGGGTCATCGGACTGCAGGAAGCAGTGTGATCCCGACTACTACCTGGACAGGGACGGCCGTTGCAAGGCCTGTGTGAGCTGTTCTGGAGGTAAGGGCCTTGTTCTCCCCTCCAGGGGCAGCTTCGGGGGAGGGGAGGCCCTTTGGGGGAGGGGGGGTAGGCAGAAAAGGTGGAGAGCATCAGGATTTGGTGCCTGGACTCTGAGTTGGCCCCCTGGTGCCTCAGTTTACCCCTCTGGATTTGTGAATTGATATCAGCCATGATGTTTTGCATCCGTTTTTAGAGAGACTTCCTTAACATGTTTCTTCAAGGGAGGAACTCACATTTATTGAGTTTAATCTTCACAAAACTCCTAGGAGATTTTTTTTTCTTTTTTTAAAGTAATCTCTCTGCCCAACTTGGGGCTCAAACCCATGACCCTGAGATGAAGAGTCGCATGCTCTACAGACTGAGCCAGCCAAGGCGGGGGGGGGGGGTGAGGGGGTGGGGGGGGGGTGGGGAGGAAAGTCTTTTCTTATCCCTGCTCTACAGTGAGGAAACCCAGACTTAGGCAGGTCAAGGGCCTTTCCAAAGTTACAAAAGTCTGGTAAGTGGCAGATCTGGAGTTTGAGCTCTCTGTCTGACACCAAGAGCTGTGTTCTTTACCTGAGACCACAAGTGCTTCCAGGAGGAGGCTTCCCGTAGCACCTCACTGTTAATTTCTTATTATAGTTCTTGAATGTGGTTTGCGTGCTCTCTGGTGTTTGTTTTGTTTTGTGTGGGTTTTTTGTGGGGTGGGGTTGGGAAATTTGTTGAGATTTCTTGCGCCCTAATGTTCATATTTTTAAACCATGTTTAGTGTGTTTGGGGAAAAAAAATGTGTGTTCTGTTAGGTACAAAATTCTCTATATACCTATCAGATCAAGCTTGTTAATTGTGTTATTTAAATAATATACATTCTTTCAAAATGACCTTTTAAGTTTACTTAATTAAGGACCTCCACACCCAACGTGGGGCTCGAACTCATGACCCCAAGATCAAGAATCACGTGCTCTATCGACTGAGCCAGCTGAGTCCCCCGAAATAATATGCATTCTTTATTTTTGCATTCTTAACTTATTTTTGCACCTTCCCAAAGGTTGCCGTCTGAGATAGATGTGTAAAATCTATCTCCCCTGTGCTTGTTTTTCATCACATTTTCATTGTGTTCTGTTTATTTTTGCTCTCTATATGCCAAAGCTATGTTATTAGGTACAACGTTCATGAATACTACGTTTTCTTGGTGTGTTGGACCTTTCATCAGCATGAATTATACCTCTTTGCCCCTTACAGTGTATTTGCCTTAATTCCATTTTTGTTTGATATTAATATTGCCGTTCTTCTTTGTCTATGTTAGCATTTCTTTGGTATATCTTTAAGTTTTTAAAATTAGTGACTGCATTGTATTAAATGAAAGTTATAGGCATTCATTATAAAACCTTCAAGCAATACAGAAGTGTGAGGAAGGAAGCCAGCTCTGCCCCCTACCCCCTCGTTGGATGTCTGACCGACACTTCTCTTTATCTCTGTATAGAGGGAAGAATGGGAAGGTTCGCAGCCAGACAGACTCTACACACATAGAGAAGAGGGATTTTTTTTTTTAAGATTTTATTTATTTGAGAGAGAGAGAGAGCACGAGCGCTCACACACACACACGAGAGGGAGGGGCAGAGGGAGAGGGAGAAGCAGACTCCCCCTGAGCAGGGAGCCCAAGGTGGGCCTCAATCCCAGGACCTGAGACCTGTACTGAAGGCAGCTGCTCAACCGACTGAGCCACCCAGGCGCCCCGAGAAAAGGGATTTTTAAGAGGATGGGATCATACTGTTTATGACATTCAAGTGATTCATTTAATTTTATTCAAATGTATCAGAGGAGAAAGAAACTAAAGTGAAAATAAAACAATCACAAGAGAGCAGTTTCTAAAAACAAAACCCTCTAAAATTAAGAAGAGGCTATGAAAATCGAGAAGCAGTTGGAAATCATTAAAGGAATAACTATCTCTTGTGGTAAAATCATGTTCTGCTCGTTTCAGTTTTTGGATGGGATAGAGCATATTGGCTTCCTGTAATGAAATGAAATAATGAAGTAAGGAAATGAAATGAAAAAATGAAGTAATCAGTTGCTGCCTCCTTGTCCTCTTCCTGACTTTTATTACTTACTTACATTTTTTTTTTTACTTTGTTATTGCCTATGGTGTTTATATTCTTTTCTGTAACCTTCAGTCCCTTGGCCTGTTAGCTTTACTTTGCTATTTAAACTTACTCATTGTGCACTATGAGCACATTGAACACAGCTTCTCTGTTCCTGAATTTTTCATTTTGATTTATCGCTTGATTGGTTAGATTTCACTGACCTGTGCCTGTACCTTTTTTTTTTTTAAAGATTTTATTTATTTATTTGTCAGAAAGGAGCACAAGCGGGGGAGTGGCAGGCAGAGGGGGAAGCAGGCTCCCCGTTGAGCAAGGAGCCCGATGTGGGACTCATTCCCAGGACCCTGGGATCATGACCTGAGCCGAAGACAGATGCTTAACCGACTGAGCCACCCGGGGGTCCCACTGAATTTATATTCTTATTAACTTCTTTTATAGTGTGAAGCGCTCTTGGGATTGCTTCTGTTTTAGAGTGGGTTCTTTATCTTTCCAGATTGTATTTCTATCTCTTTTAGATCTTTCTCTTTCTTTTTCTGTCTTCTCTTCTCCCTCCCTCCCTTCTTTACTGCTATAGTGTGTTTGCACTTCTCTGTTTTTGCTTAAGGTTAGCAGGGGCAGCAGCTCTGTTACTGCCTTCTTTCTGCTCTGATACAGTGTGACTTCTCCTTTACACCCGCCCCACCTCACTGGGCTCTGGTTTGTCTTTTCTGCTCAGAGCTTCAGCTGGGGGCTCAGCGTTCCTTTTCAAAAATACCGTAGTAAAATGTACATAACATAAAATTGATCATTGTAACCATTTTTAAAAAAGATTTTATTCGGGCGCCTGGGTGGCTCAGTTGGTTAAGCGACTGCCTTCGGCTCAGGTCATGATCCTGGAGTCCCAGGATCGAGTCCCACATCGGGCTCCCTGCTCAGCGGGGAGTCTACTTCTCCCTCTGACCTTCCCCGCTCTCCTGCTTTCTCTCTCTCTCAAATAAATAAATAAAATCTTTTAAAAAAAAAGATTTTATTTATTTATAAAAGAGAGAGAGAGGGAGAGGGAGAAGCAGGCTTCCCGTGGAGCAGGGAGTCCAACATGGACTCCATCCCAGGACCCCGGGATCATGACCTAAACCGAAGGCAGACGCTTAACCGACTGAGCCACCCAGGCGCCCGATCACTGTAGCCATTTTAAGTGTACTGTTCAGCGGCACCAAGTGCATTCACATCTTTGGCAACACTCTCACCATTTTCCAGCTCCAGAACTTGTTCATTTGCCCCAGCTATAACTCTGTCCCCATTGAACACTAGCTCCCTAGCACGGTGCCCCCAGCCTTTGGCAATTACTGTTCTATCTCTGTGAATCTGACTACTCTAGGAAGTTCATATAAGTAGAATCCTAAAATATTTGTCTTTTGTGACTGCCTTATTTCCCTGAGCATCATGTCTTCGAGACATTATAGCAGGGCGTCCGGCTAATACACCATTGGATGGATTGACCACATTTTGTTTATCCATTCCTGTTGATGAACACTGTGGTGCTTCTACCTTTTAGCTGTTGTGAATAGTGCTTCTGTATACATACGTCGACAAATAATCTGTTCAGGTCCCTGCTTTCAGTTCTTTTGGGGTATATACTTAGCAGTGGAGTTGTTGGATCATGTGGTCATCCTGTTTAATTTTTTGAGGAATCCCGAGTATTACTTTTGAAACTGATTTTAGGGGCCGGAGGGCCTGGGTGGGAGGCAGAGTGCAGCCAGAGATGGGCGTCGTCCTTGCTGGGGCAGGGATCTGCCTTCCCTTCCATCAGAGGCATTGCCAGAGCTCCTGCTGCCGGAAAAGAGGTGGACCCCACTCCCGGGGCCTCTGCTCATTTCCGCTGGGCCTGCCTTCCTGAAAGTTAGCAAGTCCAGCAGCCTTTCCCACCTTTGCCCAGGCCTGAGATACTGTGTTTGGGCTGCTACTCTAAGGGCTTTTTCCTTGAATTTTCCAGGGATGTCTACTGTTTGCCCTCAGTCTGCCTCTCCCTTAGATTTTCTAGAATTCTCAGGACTTTATTCTCTCCTCAGTACTGCTCCTGGGGTGCAGGCGAGAGTTAGGGGCTACTCCTGGGCCACTACAGCTAGGGAGGGAGAGATGAGAGAGCCTCAGGAGATGGTTTTAGGGGCCAGTCCTGGGAGAAATGCCTATCATTTTGGTCCACATCTCATTGGCCAGAATCCTGTCACATGATCCAAACCCAACTGCAAGGGAGGCTGGGAAATGTAGTCTTTCTGTGTGCCAACATGAAATGAACGGGTGAATACGGCATTGTGCTCCAGGGGATTCTTTTTTTATGGCTTCGACTTCCTTTCTCTCCTTCCTTGAGCTCCAGGGTATTCCGTTTTATAGCTGCAAGTCTCTGAGACTATTAATTGTACTGATTCTAACGGCTTGTTCTGTGGTTTTGGGGTTTTTTTTTCTTTTTCTTTTTTTTTAATCTGCTCTTTCGAGAGCTCTTTTGGAGTTCGGAGCTCTTTTTTCTTGGTGCTGGTTTTCTCTCATGTTTGGTGACCCCTCTGCACATTGTATCTGATCACTGGGGTGGGGGAGTGTGTTCTTTAGTGGCTGATCTTCTGGGTCTGCAGGGTCCCTTCCTCCCACACAGGATCAGCCCTGGGGCACTGTCTCGCTCACCTCACCCAAGGGTCTCCTAGGGGAGATACTTGGCTTCTGGATTCGTGGCATAAGTGGATGAGAAGCGTGGGGAGACTGACCCAGCTGGGTGCTCCTGCTGCAATCCATAGCGGCTTCCCTGGGGCCTGCCCCTGCCCTGTACCCACTGGGAGACTGGAGTAACACCCCCCCCCCAGCCCCCGAGCCTCTCCCAGAAGAACCCTCTTGGGTATATTTTGGGCTGAAGTATATTTTGGGCTGAAGACTTTGGTCTTCTTCTTCCATGCAATCCTAACTGCCTTCCATGTTTCAGGAAGCCTTCACCATTCCTGGTTGACCAAGAATGCCTTGTGTAGCTTTCCACGAATGTTTGCATTTGCCACTTACTTACACCAGTGGTTTTTTTTTTCTCTTGAGATAAATACACCATTTTATTTATTTTTAAAAATTAATTTAAATTACTTATTTATTCTTGCAAGTAAGCTCTACGCCCAACATGGGGTTTGAACTCACGACCCTGAGATCGAGAGTGGTGAGCTCTACGGACTCAGCCAGCCAGGTGCCCCTAAAATTCACCATTTTAAAGTGTGCAACACAGTGGCCTTATCGTATTCACAGTGTGCAGCCACCACCACTATCTGACTTCAGAAAATTTCCACCTCCCCCAAAAGAAATCCCTATCTTCCCAATTCTCCTCCCATTCTACTCCCTTGCAGTCTGCTCTACATTCTATCTGTGTGGATTTGCCTACTTTGGACCTTTCAAAGCCATTAGTATATGGCTTTGAGTGACTGGCTTCTTTCACTTTGCAGTGTTTTCAAGTTTCACCCATGTTGTAATACGGGTTGTTTCTTTTTGCGGCTGAATAATATCGCATTGGATGGCTAGACCACATTCTGCTTATCCGTTCATCGGTTGATGGTCATTTGGGTTGTTTCTACTTTTGGGCTATTACGAGCAATACTGACATGAATATTAGGTTTAGGATCCTCCTCCCAAACCCTTGGCAGCCTCTGATCTTTTTAGTGTCTCTATAGTTTGGTCTTTTCCAGAATGTCACAGAGTTGGAATCACATGGCATGTAGCCTTTTCAGACTGGCTTCTTTCATGTGGCAATATGCATTTAAGTGTTCCTCATGTCTTTTTTTTTTTTTGGCCCATTTTAAAATGGGGGCATTAATTTCTTTTTAATATGATGGTACTGATCGTCCGGGGATCTGGGCGGGGAAGTGGAGGCTGCCTCACTGGCCCCGCCTGGCTTCTTGGCCCCGTTGCAGGAACACTCTGGAAAGCAGGGCTGAGCATGCCAGCTCCCTGCCCGATGGGAGGCCAAGGCGGCATCTTCTGTCATGTGCCAAACAGGCTCTGAGGGCTCTCTGGTTCCCTTCCCCATCCTACCCCTGTGCCCCGTGACCCTTCTTTGTGTCCCGTAGATGATCTTGTGGAGAAGATGCCGTGCGCAGGGAATTCCTTCCGTGTCTGTGAGTGCCGGCCTGGCATGTTCTGTGCCACGTCAGCCCTCAATACCTGCGCCCGCTGTATGCCCCACTCCGTCTGCCCACCAGGGATGGTCGTCAGGTTCCGGGGTAAGTATCCCCACCCTCAGCCCAGCACCAAGATCTGGGCCCAACTGCACCTCTCCGCCGCCACTGCCCCAGATCTCCAGATGACCTCCGACTGCCCACTTCCTCCTTCCTGTTGGACAGACTGCTGTCTCCTTTTGAGATCCTGTAGGTGCACCAGCCACTGCAGAGCCCCCTTGCCTGTACTTTGTGTGCCCGGCTCAGGAGACCCTGATGGCCGGAGGCACAGGCCTGCCTGGATGAGGTCTTGGATTGGTTTGAGGCTCGGGGCAGAAGTTCTCTGATGCCTGGTAAACAAGAAGCAAACCTCAAGTCGCTGTCCTGGGAGTTCCCCAGAGGATTAGGGCCAGTTTCCTCAACTCACTATTGAGGCATTGGGAGTTAGAGTTGCTGAGACACTTGGGTTTCTTTTCCCACTTGCTGTGTGAGCTCAGGCAAATTCCTTACCCTCTCTGGGCTTCTAATTTTCTGACAATACAAGGAGGCTCATGGCCAGAAAGGAGGTAAGGGGCACGGATGCTGTGTGGGTGGTACTGAGGGCACCTTTCAGAAGGGAGGCATGGGGAGTGGGTGGGCTTCGGACCACGGCCCCATAGCGGTGCCACAGCCACATAGGCTGGGGAAGAGGCAAGATGGAATCAGAGGGAGCCACGCCCACTGGGGAGAGAAGTGCCAACACCGAGCCCATGACACTCCCACTTCTAACCTGGTCCTTGTCCAAAGCCCCATCCTTACCAGCCTCTCTCCCACTGTCCTCCCTTCCTTTCCTTCCCTCACGCCCCACAGCCAGCGCGTCTCCCAGTCCCATAGCATCTGCTCCCCTAATTCTCTCTTCCATTCCCCACCCCCAGTTCCTGCTGTCATTCCTTGCCCATGGCAGACAGGCGGGGCCACCCTTGCCAAACCAAATCTGATTCTCTCTCTTTCTCTCTGTCACACACACACACGCACACGCACGCGCACACACACGTGCTAAAAAAAACACTTTAGTATCTTCTCATGACTCTAATGATAATGACATGATTCTTTGGCAGAAGAGAACAGGTTTTTGGAGGCACTTCTTTTTTAAAGTCTAGGCCGTTTGGCCTTCCTGGGTTGCTGGCTTATTTGGCTCCACGTCTGGGATAGAAGAACAGAGAAAACCCAGGGGACTCACCACGGTGTCATTCCTTGGGTTCCAAGGCCTTCTCTCCACTGTTCAGAATCTTCTTTGTTCAGACACATGCGCATGGCGTTTAGCTGTCTTTAGTGGGAGGGCTAGGGGAAAGGGTGCCCACTCCATCTTCCCAAGGCAGTCTCCAGGATGTGATCCTGTACGCGGTCCTGCGCCATGTTGTCCTTCCTCCAGCCTCAGACTCAGTGCCTCCTTTCCTGGCCTCACTTGGTCTGCTGTCTTTCGATTCTATGGGTGCGCGGTGCTTCTCCCTCTTACCAGGCCTTTGTGCATGCGGTTCCCTCTGCCTGCGACACGCTTCCCTCCTGTTCACTCAGTCAGCTCCTCAGCCTTGAGCTCTCTGTCCAGACATCACTTCCTCAAGGGGCCTCCTGCGACTTGTCACAGGTCACGTCTGCATTGTGATCTCTTATCACACAGTGTTTTTCGCAAACATGGATATGAACATTTGTATCTCTCTTGGTTTGATCAGTGCTGGCCTCCCTCCCTGGGGTGTCGCTTTGTGAGGGCCAAGACCAGGCCTATGGTGCTCCTGGTCATCTAGGGCCACAAGCAGGGCCAGGGGGTGGAGTGGAAAATGCTCTGGGCTGGGCATCAGACACCTGGGGTACTGTTAGCTCTGCATCTGTGGGGCGTGTTCCCACCCCATCCTGGGCTTCAGTCTCCCATCGGTAAAATGTGAAGTCGTCACTAGAAGGCCTTGGGGGACTTTCCAGCTCAGAAACCCTTGCATCTCTGGGAAAAGTAGTGGAGGTCGGTTGTTCCAGCCAGTGAGGCCCTTTCTGTGGTGTTCCTGCGACTGCCACATGATGGCGCCAGAGGCCTCTCTCTGCTGCCCCTGGACCCGTGCTGCCCCTAGCGGTCCCACTGGCCACATGCAGCCAGAGAGCATTTAAAATGTGGCCCCTTGCGTTGAAATACGCTGTCAGTGTAGAATAGTCACTGGATTTCAAACACTTAGTAGACAAAAATGTAAAACAGCTCGTTAACTCTTTTTTATATTGAATATCTACCGACCTATTTTAGATCTATTGGGTTAAATAAATTAACTTCACGTGTTTCTTTTTACTTTTTAAAATGTGGTTACCAGGCAATTTCAAATGACGTGTGTGATTCCCATCATATGTCTATGGGACAGCGCCGCTGGCTAACTCCTGGACTCGCCTGTGGATGCTCCCACAGGGCAACTCTCCAGCCATAAAATGGAAAGTCGTTTCTGCTTAGGAGTCAGCCCACAGCTAAGCTGCAGGTGTTCTCTCCTGAAGGGCTCAGAACTCCATCAAGCAGACTGAATTAGCCATCTTTTACAGCTGAGGAAATTGAGGTCCAGAGATGGGTAAATTGCTCCAGACTACAGAGCAGGGAATATCTGAGCCAGGCCTCATCACCCCACTGCACTCAGAAACACAAGACACATCCGCATTGCTCATGCCACCTCCACATCCCACACGTGGGACACTTTCTAGGCAATGGACAGGAGTCCAGATGGGGAAAAGGACATGCTATTTATTAGACATTTACTATATATCACGCAGCGTGATGGGTACGGTGAGGACGTGATAGAAGTATCAGGCGAACTCAGATCCGCTGGATAGAAAGTGCTGTGTGTTTTCCTCTTTACTCTGGTTGCACCCAGTATTCTTCAGGAATCTTTGAGTTGCTGGTAACAAAATCTCAAATTTTTTTGGTTCATGTAACTGCAAAGTCTGGGGCTCGCTCTGGGTAGTGTCTGGCATGGCTGGATCCAGGAGCTCATCTCTCCTCGCCTATGTGTAGGTATCTGTAAGACACCTCCCAGCAGCTCCCGGCTTGCTTCCCACCCAACCCCAGTGGAAAGACAGCTCCTCCATCCTACAGTTTCAAGAACCAAAACCAAAACCTTGGTGTTGTACCTCATGGGCATGCCTTGGGTCATGTGCCCATCCCTGAACCAGTTCATCAGGGTCAGAGGAATGAAATGGATTGATGGATCCAGCCTGCTCTGTGTTTGCTCCTGGAAGGGAGGGATGTGAGTCAGTCTCAGCCCCTGAACACAGATACTGAGATTGGAGAGTATTCCCCAGGGGAAATCGGGGTGCTTTACCGCAACAGGGACCGGACACAGGGCAGGCACAAACATCAGATGGCTGCTACGTTTCCAAGCACCTCATTCCGAACTCTGGGTTGTGGTGGTAAAAGATCTATGTCTAGAGTCTTCAGACTCCTCCATGACGTCTCCTCAGTGTGTCTCAGTGAACCTCCTGACTCCTCTGTGGCGTCTGTCCCTCCTGCATTGCTGTTCCCCCCCCCCCCGCAGGTACAGCAGAGAAGGACACCATCTGTGAGCCACTCTCCCCAGTGACCAGCCCTGACTGCAGCACCAGCCCCGAAGCCTGCCATGCGCCCGCCAGGTGAACTTGGCTGTCCAGCTGAACTTGGCTGTCCTGGCCCACAGGATGCCCGGAGCCCAGCTGGCTGTGATGTGGGTGGGGTTCAGCCCAGGGTGTCAGGATTCTGGGGTGCCTCTCTGTCAAGCCCACAAGCCACTTGAGGCCCCACCGTGTGCTCAGTCTTCCCTGAGCACGTGAGAGAAGAGCCTAGAAAACACAGTCCTTGCTCCCAGGAGCTGACAGCGGGGCTGCCAGAGGCTGTGGGCAGAGGGTCTGGGGGCCCCCTTCTCTGCGGAAATGGTTGCCCTTGAGAACAGACCTCCCTTTGCCCCCTCAGGAGAATTGGCAGTGCCATTTCTGGCTTCTCTCTCAGCAGCAGGCCCCCCCAGGCCAGGCCCCTGGGGACTTCCTCAGCAAGCTCCAAGGCCAGGACCACACTTCCTGGAGGGGGTGCTTCCCTCACCCCGGAAAATGATTCCAAAATGACCAGGGCCCCCAGCTCTCCCTCCTCGGTGCGGAAGCCCAGTCCCAATCCAGGTGAGTTCTCCAGAGAAGCTGTGGGGTGGTTCCCAGGACAACAGCGTGTTGTTGGCGGGCGAGCCCTGTGGGGTGGTCCAGGCCGGGGGGACGGTGGTGGGGGGACCCTGGGCTGGAGTCTTTCCCAGTCCGGGGAGAAGAGGGTCTCCGGGTCTCTGGAGGCTGAAGGCATCGAGGGCTAGAGTAGATCATGGAAGAAGTCATTCGTTTGACAGCTTGAGTGCCTCCTAAGTGCGACACGGAGGTGCTTGCCAGGGAGCAGGTATTGATCTGATGCCCTCCTGGTTCCCACGGCGACGGACGGGGCCCTCAGTTCGCTCCTGCTTATTACTGACTAGCCTTCCATGGTGGCTCACGTTTATCCAGTAGTCTTTGGGTATTTGGGTTGTTTCCTCTTTTTGGCTGTAATGAAAAACAGGTCTTTGTGTGAATGTATGTTTTCATTTCTCTGGGGTTTGTTTGTCTTTTTAGTTGACTTCTTAATAGGACTTCTTGCAATTCTGGGTTTGAGCCCTTCATCCCACAGTGGTGTGCAGAAGACCTCCTCCCACCCGGTGGCTTGCCTTCTCATTTTCTTTATGGTGTCTTTGCTAAAGAGATGTTTTTTTATTTTATTTTTAAAAAAGATTTATTTATTTATTAGAGCGCGTGTGCATGTGCATGTGTGCACATGTGTGAGCAAGGGGAGAGTGAGAGAATCCTCAAGCAGACTCCCCCGTGGAGCTCAGAGCCTGATGTGGGGCTTGATCCCAGGACCCTGAGATCATGATCTGAGCTGAAATCAGGAGTCCGACACTCAGCTGACTGAGCCACTCAGGCGCCCCTAGAGAGATGTTTCTAAATTTTAACGTAGTCATGGGCGCCTGGGTGGCTCAGTCAGTTAAGCATCTGCTTTCAGCTCAGGTCATGATCCCAGGTCCCTCATTGGGCTCCCTGCTCAGCGGGGAGCCTGCTTCTCTCTCTGCCTGCCGCTCCCCCTGTTGTGCTCTTTCTGTCTCTCTCTCTGAAAAAGGAATAAATAAAATCTAAAAAAAAAAAAAGATTGCAGTTTAGAAATAGCCAGATACATTCCTTCCCTTTCTGGGCTTCAGGACTCCCTCTGAAAGATTGATCTGACACGTGTGGAGTTTGGGAGCTGGCCATGGAGCCGGAGGTGGCGATTGGGTGCGGAGGTGGGGGCCTCTGCCAAGGTGGCCTGGCCTGGAGCTTCTCTGCTTCCTTCCCCAGGGCTGACCTCACAGCAGCCGTGCGTACAGGGGTCATCGGACTGTGGGAAGCAGTGTGACCCCGACTACTACCTGGACAGAGACGGCCGCTGCAAGGCCTGTGTGACCTGTTCTGGAGGTAAGGGCCTCGTCGTCCCCTTCAGGGGCTCCTTCCTGGGAGCAGGGGGTCTTAGCCGAGAATCTGGGGATGGGGGACCCCGAGTTCATTCTGGGACTGCTCAGCCTTCGGGAGCCTAGCTCACCTCGCTGGTGTCTCTGAGCAGTTGGCCTTTACTGAGTCCCACTCTTGATTGTGGGGTATTGATGGGGGTGACCCCTTCTCAGAGAGCTTCCATTTGCTCACACTTGCAAGGAAACATTTGTTATTGTCTACCTGTTCCAAGCTTGTCTCGTTATTTTTGGTAGCTACCTTCTGGTGTGCAGATTATGATTGTCCCCATTGTACAGAGGAGAACACTGAGGCCTTACAAAGGCCCCAAGCCCTCAAGAGCAGCAGGGCCAGAGTTTAAACTTGGAGGTTCTGGGCTCTGGTCAGTCACTGCACTGTCCCTAAGGACAGCATGCTCGGGACAGGTACTTACTGGGTGACTGCTGTGTACATGACCAGCTCAGCACAGCCTCACAGCACCACCAGCTGCGCCCCGCCCCCGCCGTTGACCATGAGAGCCACACAGGGCAGGGGAAGCTGCCCAGGCCCCGAACTGCCATGGCTGGTTGCAGCCCCAGCCCCCTCACAGAGGGGTGGGGGTGTGTGCGATTATGTCTCCTTGTCCAAGGTTTCTTTCACACCCTGGCTAAAGTCAAGGGAGGCCAAAAGAGGAAAGAACACCATTCCAGTTACTAAGGCCACATAGCAAGTTTTCTCAAAACGTGGTGGCAAAAAACAAAGCACTCATTGTACTCATGAATTCCATGGGTCAGAATTCAGACAGGACACCGAGGGGGTGGCTGGTCTCTGCTCCACGATGTCTGGGGTTTCAGCTGGAAAACATGAAGCCTGGAGGCGGGAATCATCTGAAAGCATTTTCATTCATGGGTCTGGGGTTGGTGCCAACTGCTGGCTAGGGCCTCAGTTGCCCTCTGGGTTGGCCTCTGTGTTGGCCTCTGTGTGGCTAACTTGGGGGCTTCCTCAAGGCCTGGTGGCTGGATTCCAGGAATGGGGCAGGGTTGGGGACAAGTCCTATCCCTTCTGTTGACCTTTCCTTGGATGTCACATGGTGTAACTTCCGCCAGTTTCTACCTCTTGAGGCAGTCACTCTATTGGCAGATCCCAATAGAGTCAGCGGAAGGAGAAGAAAGCAAACTTCTCGACGGGTAAGTGGCCGAGGTCTGGAAGAGCAGACAGGGCCAGAAATACTGCTCTGGCCATTTTTGGAAAAAATATAATCTGTCATAGCCACCATGACAGAGAGAGAAACAAGAGGGGGCTGTGGGTCTGAGAATTCCTTCAGCTCGAAGGATGAAAGCCCTGCGAAGCCGTGGGGTGGAGAACGGGGGCCAAGAGCACAGACTCAGGAACCCAAGAGCCTGGGTTTGAATCTTGGCTCTACCAGTTTGCAGCTTATAAACACAAGCAAGGTTCTTAACGTCTCTGTGCCTCAGTTTCCTCATCTGCAATGGGCATAATAATAGTACTCTCTGAGAGAGCCGTTGCAGGAATTAAATAGGTTAAACTAGGTTAATCTGGGCAGAATGGCACTCGATGGTATTACTGCTGCCTTGCTTGCACTCAATGATATTTTTTAAAAAAGATTTTATTTATTTATTTTGAGAGAGAGAGTGTGCACGTGGGGGTGGGGGGGAGAAGGAGAGGGAGGGAGTGTGAAGCAGACTCCCCACTGAGCGCAGATTCCCCACGCAGGGCTGGACCTCACAACCCTGAGATCATGACCAAGAGTCGGATGCTTAACTGACTGAGCCACCCAGGACCTCCCCCCCCGGCCCCCGCTCAACGAGATTAATACTGCCTAGCACACAGTCGATGATATGTGTAGCTATAATTGTGACAATAGCTGTCACTGTCCCGTCATCTCTCTCACTGCTGAGCTCACTACTCTTGCTATCCACACAAATTCCCCAAATCCTCCCCAATGCCCACTCTCTCTGGAGGTTTCAGGAAGAGACTGTGAGGTTCTTTATCATTTGAGGTCTCTTAAGTGATTGAGAAAAGTCCTCATGAGCAAGTCACATTTGTCTGATCTACTAATGCAGTCATTCTAGTTTCACCCCTTTAGAGCACATAAAGTGTTCCCAAGCGTATGTAAATGCATTATCACATGCTTTCTTTTACAAAACCTCTAACATTTTATTTTTTTTTAATTTTTTTTAAGATTTTATTTATTTATTTGAGAGAGAGAGAATGAGAGCCAGAGAGCATGAGAGGGGAGAGGGTCAGAGGGAGAAGCAGACTCCCCACTGAGCAGGGAGCCCGATGTGGGACTCGATCCCGGGACTCCAGGATCATGACCTGAGCCGAAGGCAGTTGCTCAACCAACTGAGCCACCCAGGCGCCCTAACATTTTATTTTTTTATTTTGGGGAAACAAAACCCTTCTTATCATTGAAAATTTCGTTTTTTTTTAAAAGATTTTATTCATTTATTTGAGAGAGAGAGTGAGAGAGAGCACGAGTTGGGGGGGAGGGGCAGAGGCAGAGGGAGAAGCAGACTCCCTGCTGAGCATGGAGCCTGACCCGGGGACTCGATCCCAGGACCCCAAGATCATGACCTGAGCTGAAGGCAGGCACTTAACCCACTGAGCCACCCAGGCGCCCCATCATTGAAAATTTCAAACATATTCAGGAGTCAGGGATGGTTATGGACTTCACCCAGTTTTAAAGAATGATCAAGTCATGGCCGGTGTGGGTTCATCTATACCCATGCCCGCTTACCCTGTTCTCTAGATTATTTTCTTTTTGACAGCTTTATTGCGATAGGATTGACATGCAGCGCAACACACGTGTTCCAGTTGTGCCCTTCGATGCGTTTTGACATAGCGTGTGGCTGTGAAACCGGCCAATCAAGGAGAGTGATTTCCCCAGAAAGTTTCCTCATGTTCCTTACCCTCCCTCCCACTGTTGCTCACCCCGCTTGCATCCCCAGGCCATCATTCTGCTTTCCGTCACTGCGGAAGATTTTGCGTTTTCTGGCATTTTCTGTGAACATAATCGTATAGTCCATATTTTTTTTTTTCCCTACCTTCTTCCACTCAGCCTATTTTGAGCATGCCAAAAGGTCTGCTCAACAGAATAGTCACATGAGTGTTTGCTTCCAGGCAGATGCTTCTCTGCTCTCCTGGGGGGGGGGCGTCTCTGGACCCCCTGCCCTTGCCATCCCAGATCCTTCCTCATGACCCTTCTCTGTGTCCCTTTGAAGACCTGGTGGAGAAGGCGCCGTGCACGTGGAACTCCTCTCGAGTCTGCGAATGTCGATCTGGCATGTTCTGTGCCACATCAGCCACCAACTCCTGCGCCCGCTGTATCCCCCACTCCGTCTGCCCACCAGGGATGGTCACCAAACCCCAGGGTAAGCTGTCTGCACCCTCAACCAAGGGGCTGAAATCTGTGCCCCTGCAGCTGAACTTCTCTCCACCCCCAACTGGGCAAATGACCTTCAGTCCTAGCTGTTAACTAGGTCAGGTCTGGGCTTTGGTTTTGTTCAGATAGTTAGAGCTGGTAAGTGGAATAAAATCTAGATCTGGGGGTGCCTGGCTGGCTCAGTTGGAAGAGCATGTGACTCTTGATTGTGAGTTCCAGCCCCACGTTGAGATTACCAAAACAAAACAAAACAAAACAAAAACCTTGAAAAAAATCTAGATTTGGCATTTTGGTAAGATTTTTTTTTGTTAAGATTTTATTTATTTGACAGAGAGAGGGAGAGAGAGAGTACAAGCAGGTAGAGTGGCAGGCAGAGGCAGAGGGAGAAGGAGGCTCCCTGCTGAGCAGAGAGCCCGCCGTGGGGCTCAATCCCAGGACCCTGGGCTCGTGACCTGAGCCACCCAGGCGCCCCTTGGTAAGAGATTCTGATGCTTTTTTAAAAATTCTTCCTTCTGAAATTGTTGGGCTGGTAAAATCTTCACTTATTTGAAAGGCTGTTTCATTGAGTCAAGATAGAGCAATATGAAATTTTTGAAGACGTTTCCAACTCAAGATGGTAGGCATTTGGGGCACCTGGCTGGCTCAGTCAGTAGAGTGTGCAACTCGTGATCTTGGTTGGGGTGGTGAGTTTAAACCCCATATTGGGCATAGAGCTTACTTAAATAAAAAACAACAACAAGCGAAAACAAAGGAAAAAAAGATGGTAGACATTTGCCAGAGTGCGGAAAAATATAAACTCTTGACAGTGGGGTGGAAAAAAGGTTAATCAACAGACAAGAGATTTCAACAAATTTCTAGAAGGTAGAAAACAGATGGGAGGGTGGTGACAAACGAAACAAGGGGGAGGAAAGCTCGCCCCAGGATTCAGTCCATGAGTGCTGCGGGAAAAGTGAGAGTTACCTTGCTTGTAAGACCCCCGCGGAGGCTCTGGGCTCAGCGCAGGCAAGTAAAATGAAGGATGGGAGTGAAGTGGAGAACTGAGCAGTGCAGTGGGGTGCGACTTCATCTTGAAAATAAAAATTAAAAACTTGAGACAGTGGTACACCATGGACACTGAGCACTTGGAACAGATGGTGCCTGAGTTTCCATCCTCTGGTGAAAATCATCAGCTTTCTGGCTGAAGACACTGAAGGAGCAGCTGGGGAAACAGGGCTCCTGGTGTGGTACTACCACCCTGTGTAAAGCCCTCTTTGGCTGTGTGTTTCTGAGTGTAGCCTGTTGATAGGCTACCCCTGCTAAGTCACCCTGAAGTGAAGACTGCCGGCCCCCACTCCCCACCGTGGGCCCAGAGTTCCCAGATGGCCCTCCTCCTCAGGGAAGAGACCTGCTGTGGAAAGGCCATGCTAGCCCCACAGCAGAAGAACTCCCCCCCCACACACACACACACCCAGCTACTGGAATATTCAGCAGAGTCCTTTTTAAGTAAATATGAGTGAGCAATAAAGCTATTCAGACTGTTAAGGAAAACCAGCTGCATGATGGAGAATAACAGGATACATTAACAGAAAACTTACTGTGGATGAAGCAATAGAAATGGTTTCAGGAAGAGGAATAGACGTTTAAAATTTTAAATTAGCGTCCACAGAAGAATTCAAGTTGTTACATCCGTAGAGAACAGAATGCCGTGAAAAAGAAACAGTAAGAGAGAAGAGTACCAAAAAAGGCTTTTAGAAAGTGTGCTTGTTACCAAGTATTGCCTCTCAACTCTCAATTCACCTTCAGTACCTGCTGTGCAGTAAAGTATTGGACTCTTCACGTATTTCTTCTAGTGCACATGGTGTTAAGCTTTGCCAGAGGACACTGGGGAGCCATTGCAGGAAGAAGGAGGCTTCTCTTGGCTGCATCTGCTTCTTCTTGCTGCACCCTCTGTCAGCAGAGCATATGGGTGGGGACATTTGGTCGTGCCCTGCCCCAGTCATGCTCCCAGAGTAGACAGTCCCTGGGCAACCTCACAGCCCCAGCCTGGGTCTGGTGACCACCTTGGTGTGACCCTCCCAACGGGACTCTGGTATAGTCCAGGCCTCATGTCAGCAGAAGTGCCATAATTCCCTCTGTGCACCCCTACCCCAAGCCTTGGGTCTTCTGCATTCCCATTGCTTACGGCCCTCTTAACCTGGTCACTGAGTGCTCCGGGCCTTGTACCCACAGTGATGGCCCAACCTTCCTTGCATGCTTGACCTGAAAAATAGGAGACTTCAGATGGACCTACCAAGAGCAAGCAGGATGAATAAGATTACTCATACCTAGACACAATAGATGTATTTGTTTACCCATCCACTAGTTGGCAGACATTTGGGTTATTTCCAGTTTGGAGCAATTATGAATAAAGCAGTCACAAACATTCTTGTACAACTCTGTGTACACATATATTTTCGTCTCTCATGAGTAAATGCCCAGGAGAGGGATGACTAGATCACTGTGCTCGCCACACAGAATGTCTTTGCGGGCCAATTCAAAGCCTGTCACCACCCGTGATCTGATCCTACCCACCTAGTTTTATGGATGGAGAGGACCAGAGCTAGAACTGGAACACAAGGACCCTGAGTTCCAGCCTGGGGTACTCTCTACCAGACCACATCAGCTCCTTCTTAGTTCTGAACCTAGAATTTTCTATTCGGTTAAGATACAGTTAAGTTTGAAAGCAGAAAAAAAAAAACAAAAACATTTTCAGACATAAAAGGGCAGAAAGATTTTCCCTCATGTGTCCTGTCTTAGAGAGTTACTTGAAGATGTTATTTGGCTAAATGAGCGGCTAAAAACAAAACAAAACAAAAAGCCGTGAATCTAGAAAACAGCCCTCCTATCGCAGGAGAGCAGGGAAGTCCCAGTATGACAGCTGTATTGCAGACCAGTTGAGCCAGATAAGAACAGAAAAATGAAGGAGGGCTCCAGTGAATTGTCTTGTCTGCAGGAATGAAAGAAAGAATTTCAGTAAACTTCTTGAGTAGTACGTTTGAAAAACTTGACGATATGGTAAAGGCACATTGTTTTCTCAATAAGACGAAAGGCAGTTAAGAATTCTAGGGAAAATAAAAAGCTGACAAGAAATTTACACTCCAAATATGAAGATGAAAATTTCATCTGATTTTAAGGACTTGTTGGATGCATTAAAAGAGAATCCATTTGACCTTGAATGCTAAGACCATTCTCCTTCAAATGGCCCAAGGATCAGGTGTTTGGATTTAAAGAGAAATGTTTCAGTCTGGTAAATAATATCCTCTTTAGTTCTAAATTGGGAGTAAGAATGGGTAGTTTCTTTTTCTTTTTCTTTTTTTTCCTCTTTCAGTGGGCCCTTACCAGAGAACACAGGCAGACTAAGTAGAGGCTAAACAATACCTTCTGCTCACCTCCAGATTTAAAGGAGGAGGAAAAGGGGTGGGTCACTACACCAGGGAGGAAGGAGGAAGGCTACAGGTGGTATGATACACATGGAGAAGTTGAGAGGCACCCAAGGAGCACTGGGTCCATCTTCTCCACTTAGAGAAGGACAGCAGTACTTTTTTTTTTTTTTTAAGGTTTTATTTATTTGAGAAAGAGAGATAGTGAAAGAAAGCATGAGTGGGGATTGGGGGAGGGACAGAGAGAGAGGGACAAGCAGACTCCCCACTGAGCAGGGAGCCCAATGTGGGGCTCGATCCCAGGACCCCAGGATCATGACCTGAGCCGAAGGCAGAGGCTTAACCAACTGAGCCACCCGGGCGCCCCAGGACTGCAGTTCTGTGGCTGGATTCCGGCAGGTGTTTCAGTGGGAGCTCAGACTGAGGCTGCCTTAGAGAGAGGCCAGAGGGCTTTCCCCTCATGGTGCGACCTGGGGGTAGCCATGGTGATATATTTGAACACAAGAACTCCTCCAGTCCTCTCAAAGTCAACTCTTGTTGAAACCAATGACATTTTAAATTTAATCAAATACTGATTTGCAAATAAATAGAGATTATCATAGCTTCCTCATAGCTTAAAGTCTGCAGGCTTCAGCTAATTCAGGTAATAGTCTGGTGACCCTGAGGAAAGACATAGCATCTATTTGGAGACACCCCCCCCCCCCCCGCCAAAGGGGAGAGTTCCTCAGGACACCACTAATCCAAGAAGAAAATTAATCCTTGCTTCACTTTCTCTTCAAAGTGTTTCAGGAAGAATCTGAGAAACACCATGAAAGCTTTTTAGAAGGGAAAGGAGTGTGGGTGGGGGATCTGCTTTGTACCGCATCAGAGGAGGGGTGCCGCCGCCAGGGACATGGGGGTAGAGAGGGATCGTGGCTGGGCATGACCTACTCCAAATGTGGGCCAGTTTTCTTAACCCTAGAAAAGCAGTTAATTGTAAACTTGTAAGAATGTGCTCAGTCCCCAGGCAGGAGGTGGCGTGGTCCAATGGAGTGTGCTGTGGGCTGGAACCCAGGAGTCCTGCCTTCGGGCTCTAGGTCTGGCTCTGTGGCTCTCTCCCATCTGTAAAAAGAGTGGCTGGGTCAGATCAGAGGAGACCATCTTTGAATGGGTCCTCAGAGGCATTCTGTCTGGTCAGCACAGGCTTCCCCCTCCGAAGTATCAAGAGGAATGAGATTATACGTCCTCACAAAGACTTGTACAAGCACATTCAGAGCTGCATTCAAACTGGAAACAACCCTGATGTCCATCAGCTGGTGAATGGATAAATAAATGGTGGTACATCTCTACAGTGGAAGACTACTCCGTGCAACATAAGTGAATTTCAGAAATATTATGCTGAGAGAAAGAAGCCAGACCCCAGAGAGTACTTACTGCCTGATTCTGTCTAATGAAGTTCTAGAACAGGCACACTAATCTATAGTGACGTAATGCCTGAATGTGGGAGGAGGATTTGTGGCAGAAGGTCACGAAGGAGCTTTCTGGGATGGTGGGAATGTTCTAGATCTTGAATGAAGGTACAGTTACATGGAAGGATACATTCTTCAAAACCCATCAAACAGTGTAACTGAGGGGACATTTTCTTCTATATAAATTATGCCTTAATAAAGTTGATTTCAAAAGAAAGGAACTTTCAAAAAATTGAGACTATGTTTAAATATCAGGAGATGGTATTTACATTTATTTATTTATATGTATTTATCAGGTTTCTCTTTTACATAAAATTAGAAAGGCAAGAGCCACCAAGCCACCTTCCTGTGAGATCACAGTTGGCTGGAGATGAGGAGCAGCTTTTCCACTTTGATCTTTTGAGACACAAGCCTGACTGTCTCAGCCAGCTCTAGCTGCAGGCATAACAGATGAAGAACACCGTTGACATTTCAGGGTTCAGCTCTCCTCCCCCGGTCAGCTGGGGCCTTTGCTGTCTTGCCTGGGCTCACAGGTTTGGTTTGGGTTTGCTTCGAGTGTTTCTCATCCTTCTGGGACCAGCGGGGACCACCACCTGCCAGAGCATCCTCTCCTTACAGCCCTGGTGGAAGTGCAGAAAGGCCCAGGCTGGGAACAGGCACACTGTTCCTTCCATCCTGCCCCACCGACCATCCGAGTCATAGGGCATTGGTGAGGCGGGGACACAGACACCTCCCCACCTGAGGAGGTGGGCCGGGGATGTGATCTACTGCACTGATCCCATCCCTGTGCTAATTAAATCTTGCTTTGGGGAGCAAGACCTAATTTTTAAGAACAGCTTTGTTGCAGTATACTTGACATACCCCAGAATCTACTCGCTTTAAGTGTGTAATTCAAAGATTGTAAAGACATTGACAAAGTTGTAAAACCATCACCACGATCTAAGAAACCTCATGCCTTTAGTAGTCAACCCCTGTGTCCGTCCCCAGCTTGTACAGGCACTGATCCTCCTCTCTGTCCCTCTAGATGGACCTTTTCTGGACATTTCCAGAATATGTGCTCTGTGTCAGGTTCCTCTCACTGCACATGACACGTTTGAAGTTCATGCATGCTGTAGCATGTGTAAGTGCATTGTTCCCTTTTATTGCCACACAGTATTCAGGTACAGATATACTATATTTTATTTATCCATTTACCAGTTGATGGACATTTGGGTTGTTTCCACTTGTTTGGCTACTATGAAGAATGCCGCTATGAACAGTTGTGTACAACGGACCGTTGTGCACACGTTTTAACATGGCTGCTCACTAGCCTCTCCCATGGGCTCGCTCTCCTCCCTCCCCCACCTAGGGGCCACCCCGCCTTCGATTTCCTCTGCTTAGATAGCTCCCCGCCAAGACACCGCAGCAGTGGCCCCCTGACAGTAGGGACCTTGTCTCTTTTGCTCACTGCTATGTCCCAGCGCCCAGGACAGTCTCTGATACATAGTAGGTGCTCAATAAAGAGTTGTTGCATGGAGGGAAGGAGAGGGAGAGAAGGAAAGAGGGTCAGGACACCAGCCTGAGTCTACCTGGCTGCCATGTCCTTCTGGCCTCACCGTGCCGCCTCCCGGGAAGTTACCAGTCCTGCTGGGTAAGGCTCCTTGACACCAACTCTAAGACCACTCCCTGCAGGTGCGGCTGAGAGGGATGCCACAGATGAGCTACCTCCCCCCGAGGCCTGCCCTGAGTGCAGCACCAACCCAGAGGACAGCAAGACGCCCACCAGGTGACTCCCTGGCCCCTTTTTGGGGGCAGCTGGGCTGGGGCTGGAGGTGGGGCCTGGGCTGGATCTCTGTGCCAAGGTCGCAAGACATTTTGGAGGATGTGTGCCCGGCTCTGGGCTGGCACCACTGGGAATGGTTCCTGAGCACACGCTTCCCTTTCTCCATCTCCACCGTCGGTCTTACTTCTGGCTTCTCTCCTGGTAGTGCCCCTGCCCCTCTGGTCTCCTCGGCAGACCCCCAGATCAGTCAGGAGCATGGAGGGGGCATCTCCCACGCCTGGGGAGACACCCCCATATCAACGAGCACGCCCATCTCTTTCTCCTCCACGGCAAAGCCCATTCTGGTTTCAGGTAACTATTAGAGAGGAGCGTCTGCCTCCCAGAGGGCCGGGGGGAGGGAGGCTTCTCCCTGGGCAGCAGCATCCACTGGGTGGGGGAGACCAGAGCTGACCCCAGGTTTCTGGCTTCTTGAGCTGGGGCTGTGCCTCTGTCACTTGCTAGTGATTGTTCCTCGATTCTGGGCAGGGATTTTATTCACAGCTTCATCCCCATGGCCCATAATTGCTACTCAGAAAATACCTGGAGAACGAAGACATGACCTTGACTAGTTGCTAATTCCTTTGAGCCTCATTTTTGTCGCACGGACCACGCAGGGCAGTAAGCAGTGGGGTACAGTGGGGTATACGTAGCTAGCACCTTACGGGGGGCTCCTTGGAGGCATTCTAAGGTAGGCTTCGGTTTGGGGCTTGCAGTTCTAGTGTCAAACACTAGGTGGCGGCAGTCCTCCGGCCAGCCGACCTCAAAGCGCAGCCCTGGACTTGCAGCATCAGCAACTTGTTAGAAGAGCAAATTCAGGGCTGCACCCCAGCCCCACTGAACCACAGTCTGTATTGGAACATGGTCCCAGGAGATCTGCAGGCACGTTAAAGTTTGAGAAGCACATACATGGCACCTACTACTTTTTAACACCTGAACGTGGACTTAACAGTGACTAGATACACCATCTTCATAAGGGACACAGGAAAAAAAGGAACAAGTTAAGTACTGAGTTAAGTTGTAAAAAAATATACCCACATAGCGGTTAAGTGTGTGGGTGCTGGAGTCGCCTGGCCTGGCCTGGCCCAAGCCGTGATTCTTGCAGTTTACCCTTTGCCATTTTAGTGAGTTACTTAATCTTTGCCAGCCTCAGTTTCCCTCGTTTGTAAAAGGAGATGGTAATGGTGCCTACGTGATATTCAGGGAACAGGTGCTGAGTGGGGGTATGTGCAGAGAAGACCCCCCTGCCTGCCCATCTGGAGGGGAGCTGGGAGTCCTACCAGACTCCCCACTTCACCCTCCTCTCTGCTCCACCTGCCTGCGCCCCCCCCGCACCCCCCCCCCGACTCCAGCCACACTGAATGTGCTGCCGGCTGCCCCGGGGCCGCACCTGGCATAGGCCCTCCTCCACAGCCCCCAGACCATGTTCTTTTGGACCTCAGTTCCTTCCTCTCACTCCTCGACGCCTCAATTTCTCACGGTCTAGAAATGGTTTGTTTCTGTGAACCGTTTAGCTGCCCTGATGGGCCCCCTCGAGCCAGGGGAGGGAGGGTAGGTGGATAAGGGCTGCACCAGGGAGGCAGAGGGTCTGGGTCTGTCTCAGTTCCTGCTTGGGGAAGGACCGGGTGCTGCCAGCCCTGACGGTGTCTGTGTCCCAGGAGAAGGAGAACATAGTCTGGGGTGAGGGCCGTGTAGGGAGGTTGCAGTGGGGGCCCCTGGCGCACTGCCGTGGTGTAGACTTCAGAGCCCCCAAGCATCAGGGCAGAGGGTGCAGGGCTGCCTCTGTGTTCCAGGGCCGGTGCTCTTCTGGACCGTCCTGCTGCTGGTGGTGGTCCTGGGCTCCGTGTCCTTCCTCCTGTGCCACCGGAGGGCCTGCAGGAAGTGGATTCAGCAGAGTGAGTGGATGTGTCCCTGGGGCCTGGGGGAGGGCAGGTGCCCCGCGCTGGGCTGGCCGGGTCTCTGCGCTGCCCTCGGAGGAGGCCCTTGGAGGCTCTCCGGCTAACTCCTCTGTCGTTCCAGAGCTCCACCTCTGCTACCCTGTCCAGACCTTCCGGCTCAAGCTGGAGCCCGTGGGTAAGTGTCCAGATGTCCACAGGGGGCTACTCGGGCCCCATGGACAAAGCAGCCCGAGGCCCTGGGTCTGGGGCTCCCTCTGTGCACAGCCTCATCTGTAACGGGAATGCGGTGTGGTTGGGACCCGTCCTCCACGCTCCTCCGCAGCGTTCAGATGGCGGGCTGGCAGGAAGGTTTAAAGTCCATCTTGTCTTTCATTCTTTCCTCCACAGTGCCCACCCCCTGGAGAGGCATTCCTGAATGCCTTCCCTTCCTTCCTGGCCTCCCTACCCCTTCCTCCCCTCCCCATTGCTCTGCGTGCCTTCTGCTGGCGGCGAGGGCCATGGGGTCTGTAGGGCGGGCTGATGGGGCTGGAATCCTGGTTCTGCCACTTACGAGCTAGCTGTACGGCCCCGGTGAGTTTCTTCGTTCCTCTGTGCCTCCGTTTCCTCGCTGTAAAAGGGGACGGTGGGGCCTACCTCAGAGGGTGTGTGGTGCAGTGGGTGGTTGTTGTCGGCCGACGGGCCGGCCTGTGTTGGGGGCCTTTTTCCTCACCGGGAATCTCAGGGCCTTCTGATATCTACGCTGTTCTGAAGCACTCCCTGCCCCTGGCTCTCTGACCTCAGCCTAGCTTCCAGGCCAACTTTTGCAGACCAGCTGTCAGAGCCCCTGACCTACTTCCAGCCCTCACCTGGTTGTGCGCGTGCGTGTGCGCGCGTGTGTGCGCGCCTTTTCTCCCCTATGCGGCCATTTGCAGGCAGGGCAAGGTCTTCGTCAGCACTCCACAAGCACTGATTGAGCACCTACTGTGTGCTGGGCCTTGACCACAGGGGAAGGAGTGAACACGAATTTCCGAGCTTCCCTTTCTGGTCTCAAGGCAGGCTCCCATAGAGGGTCTCAGCGATCTGGGAACCCCGAGGGACGTGGGTGATGATCTGTCTCCATTGCATAAGGAGGAGTCAAGGCTCAGAAAGGTGGATAGCTGGCCAGGGCCACACAACCGATGAGACTCAAGTCTCAGGCACTGGTCCTTGAGGTTGCGGGCTTTGTTTGTGGAGGGCTCAGACCTGTCCCTTCCGCCTCCCTCCCCTCAAGCTTTGCCACCGCCAGTGTCCACCCACGAGTCCAGTGGGCAGCCTCGTGCCAAGTCACAGCCCTCCTGCCCCCCCGTCTCCCCAGGACCCTCGGTGACCGTCACTGCAGCCCGCCTTTGGACCTGGGCACAAAACCTATCCACTGAGGCCTGTTTTGAATTTGATGAGTTTCACAGCAGGTGCTTGTGCGCTCTTAGCAAGGGGGGTTTTTGTGTTTTGATAGTTTCAAGCCTGTTTCCATGAGCTGTCAGCCTTAATGTCTCATTGAAACCCGTGTTTGCTTTCTTGACATTTTTCTAGTATTAGAATTTCCATTGCTGTCAGTTTATTTTTTTCTTCAAACCTTCGTGATGGCAGTTTTGCCACAGAGAAAAAGAGAGAGAGAGAGAAAGAAAAAAAAAAAGCACCTTCCCTTAAGAAGGCAGACCTACGAGAAACCAAGCCTTGAGACTCAGTGGCGGCCATCCTGTTTGGGGCTGTTTCTGGCCCTCTGGCTTCCGGCGGGTCCCTGGAGAGTCTGGGTTCCCAGGCCTGAGCTGGAGGGAAGGTGAGGCCAGGATAAGCATCCAGGGGGCTCAGGATGAGAACGGATGGAGGGGCGCCTGGGTGGCTCAGTCGTTAAACATCTGCCTTCGGCTCAGGTCATGATCCCAGGGTCCTGGGATCGAGCCCTGCATCGGGCTCCCTGCTCGGCGGGGAGCCTGCTTCTCCCTCTCCCACTCCCCCTGCTTGTGGTCCTGCTCTCGCTATCTCTCTCTCTCTAATAAATAAAATCTTAAAAAAAAAAAAAAACAAAACGGATGGAGCAGGGTGGATGCCCCATTCCCTCCGGAGCAGTGGGTGCTGAAGGGGCGAAGGAGCTTTCATTCACATGCTCGCTCATTCGCGTGTTCAGATCGTCGTCCAAGTGGCTCCGTGCTGGGTGCAGAAACGGGTCCTCGCTGTCCCGAGCATTCAGACCAGCATCAGTTGCTTCAAGGGACTAATGGCTGGCAGGGTGGCGATGCATGCCCCAGCCCTCCCTGTCCCAGAGCAACAATGCTTACCAGCCATCTCTTGAGTCGATTCGCCTTTATGGCCCGTGTCTTCGGCAGCAGGCTTTTGCAGAGCGCAGACGCACAGCGGACCGGGGAGGCACCTGCTGCTTTCATCCCCATTTCGCAGATGAGGAATCAGGAAGGTGGAGGAACTTATTTAAGGCCACTTTGTAAATAACAACCTGGGGGTGGGAATCGTGCCTGGTTAAGAAACACTGACTAAAATTCTTCGTTCTAATGGACACTAAAGTCCTTATCTGTTACTTCAGGCAGGTTTAAGTTGAAAAAAAATTTTTTGTTGTTGTTTTGAAACCATTTCAAGCTTACAGGAGAGCCACAAGGACAGTACAAAGAACTTATTTTTCTGAACTTTTTGAGTTGAGTTAGTGACTCAATGCCTTATCATCTCCACATACTTTAGTGCGTATTCATACAAACGGGTGTATTTTTATGCGACGTAGTGACACCATCAAAATCAGAGAATTCACACTGATGCGTTACCACCGGTGAATTCTCGGACCTCATTCAAGATCCTTTGTCCCAACCATGTCCTCTACGGCAGAAGAATCCGGTTCGGGATTTCGTGTTGCATCTGGTGGTCGCGTCTCCTGTCAGCCTGGCTCCGTTCCTGTCCTTTCTGTCACATTTGTGACCTTGCCCCTTTTGAGCATTCCGCCACCGACTTGGTGGGCATCCCTCCCCTTGGGTTTGCCTGGTGCGTCCTCGCGGAGACTGGAGTCAGGTCGTGCTGCTTTGGTGGCGGGAAGATGCCAGGAGTGACGCTGAGCTCCTCTGGTGGCAGCCGTCCTGCCAGGTTCCGGCCGGTCGGCCCCTTTCCTGGCGCGGCTGGCTTGGAGCACTTGGCGTGAGCGCTACCTGCCAGGCTGCTCCTGCACGAGGCTGTTCTTTTCTCCGTGGCAAGCAGTAAGCCCTTTCAGGGGAGGTACTGCGAAGCTCTGTGAATAACCAGTTCCTCATCACACTTTCTTCTTCTTCCTCTCTATTCATATCTGCATGGACTGGTGGCTTTCTGTTTTATTCTCTTGCCATCGTTATTCTGATGTTCAGATTCGGTCCTTGAAGCGGGCCCTGGTGTCCTTCTGTCTCATCCTTTCCTGTTCTGAGCACTTTAAGAGGATCCCAGCTTACCTGGTACTTCCCTGCCCTCACCCTGGAATCAGTGGCATCTCCCAGGAGCCCAGATCGGAATTACGGGTGCCCGTTGCCAAAGCCTGGTCGAGCCTCTGTGCCAGACTCCTTCCTCAGGTCTGTTCTGCTTCCCACGGCAGCCAGGCCCCCAGGCCAGATGGGGGCCGGGACTGAAAGGGGAGAGTGGCTGGGATGGACGGGACCGCAGCGTCGGTGTCAGAACTCACGGGCTCAGCTGGCAGCCCCGGGGAGAACACGTACTTGTCCCGGCGGGGGCGGGGGGGGCCACCAATGCCTCGTGTGTCCCTGGACTCATGTCCTTGGGTGCCGGACACGTGTACGAGAAGATCTTACAGTTACTCCCCAAAGCGCGGAAACCAATAAATGAAGACAGTGGACTGAAGCCACATTTTTAGGGGAAGCGCACTTAGGAAATCCAATCTCTGTACTCAGCACGATTTGTTCTGGGTCTTTATCAGAGTGCACATGTGGGTTATAAGGCAGCTGTAGGCCGACATCGGTACCTCTGGATTCTGCCTTTTCACCTTTATCTTGTTTTACGCTTGTTGCCAAGAGTCGGTATCAACTGCTGGTTTTCTTTTTGGTGTGATGAACGCTGTGCCACATTAACGTCCTGGGACCCACCACGTGCTAGGCAGCCTCCTGGGCACTGTCCCTTTTTCACATTTAAGTTTTTAAAAATTTTCAACAGACTTCAATTTTTAGAACCATTGCAGATCTGTAGAATATTTGAAAAGATAGTTCAGAGAGTTTCCGTGTGCCTCACACCCAGTTTCCTCCATTGTTTACAACTTAACGTTAGTGTATTTGTCACGGTGACTGAGGCAATATTGACACGTTACCATTAACTAAAGCCCATACTCTGTTTAGATTTACTTAGGTTTTCTTTTTTTAATAAGAGACTATTTTTTTTAAAAATTATTTGAGAGAGAGTGAAAGAAAGCACCAGTGGGGGTTGGGGGAGGGGCAGAGAGAAAGGGACAAGCAGATTCCCCACTGAGCGGGGAGCCCAACGTGGGGCTCGATCCAAGGACCCTGGGATCATGACCTGAGCCAAAGGCAGATGCTTAACCGACTGAGCCACCCAGGCGCCCCTGGGTTTACTTGGTTTTAGCCAATGTATTTTTTTACTGTTCCAGGCTTCCACCCAGGATACCATGTTACATTTAGTTGTCACGTCTGCTTGGGCTCCTCTGGACTTTTCTGACTTTCCTGTTTTTGATGACCTTGGGAGTACCGGCCAGTTATGTGCAGGATGCCCCTCTTTTGGAATTTGGCTAATATTTTCCTCCTAATGACAGTGGGGTTGCAGGTTTGGGGGAGGAAGACCACACGGGCTCAGGCTTGTTCTCATCACATCATATCAAGACACGTGCTGTCAGCGTGACTGATCACTGGGTACCTTCACGTTTCGGGTCTCATTTAGTCTTCATATAAACCCTCCAAAGTTGGCATGCTGTGTCCCATTTTCCAGATATGAGGACTAAGGCTGGGAAGGTGGAGTGATGTTGTGCTGGGGGTTCCCTGCCAGGAAGCGCTCTGCTTCAGGACTGCTAAGCTGCCTCATTGTTTGGCATCTGGCTTGTTTTCAGTTTTTTGGTTATTGCACACAGCCTTGTTGTATTCTCTTGGGTTATTTCCTGAGGGTGTGTCCCTAAAGAGGGATTACTGGGTCAAAGGGTGTGAGGTTTTCACTGCCAGATGGCTCTTGAGAAACGTGGAACCAGTTCACAGGGCATGAGCCACTGTGTTCCTTTTTACCCACATCCTCTCCAAGACTGAGTTTTATCACTTTTATTTATTTTATTTTATCTTGTTACTTTGTCACACTCTTTCCCCCGGCCACCCAAACCACAGCTGGCTGTTTGCAAAAGTCAACCTTACTCTCAAAGGACAAAAATTAGGCTTCACTGACATAACTTAAAAGAATGTGCCTTAGGCCAGAGAGCATTTCCCCAAGCGGTAGCTTGGGTAACAGATAGTGGCCACCCAGAGGGAATGAGCTGCGGCCTCCCAAGGTGACCACCCTGCTGGGAACAGAAGTTACCAGACGAAGGAAACTTTAACATTTGTTAAATCAAGACTCCAGATGGGGCGCCTGGGTGGCTCTGTCGGTCAGTCATCCGACTCTTGATTTCAGCTCAGGTCATGATCTCAGGGCTGTGAGATCGAGCCCCGTGTCCAGCTCTGTGCTGGGCGTGGAGCCTGCTTGAGATTCTCTCGCTCCCTCATCCCCAGCCTCAGTCCCTGTGCTCACTCACTCTCTCTCTCTCTCTAAAAAAATAAAAATAAAAAAAGAAGAAGAGGAAAGAATCCAGAATTGTGTCATTTTATACGTGTTCTTCTTTTGACGGTCAATCTGGTTCATTTCCTCTTTAGACACTTTTTACATGCTGATAGTCACTTAGAAGGCGCATGTAAGTGTTTCCCCCGAACTGACCTAGTGTCTACACGGCATGTTCCAACCACCTGTCTTGTTTGTAGTATCACAGTTGGTTGGCCCCCAGTGGGTGTTTCAGCTAGGATTCAGGGCTGGTGGTTCCCAGAGCTGCTGATGTCAGAATGTTCTGGAGATGACTTAGCTTGCTGGCATTTTCAGAGCAGATTTCTCTGGTCAGGTACGCACACCTAACAGCAGTATATTCCAAGTCTCTGAGAGGGCCTCCTCAGGACTCCTCAAGGGCTGTGTGTCCCCAGACGACGGTCGACGCTGGGAGTTGATTTGCCCAGTGTAGACCAGATGCCTGGGTGCCATCTCTGGCTTTCTCATGTGGCCAGTGGGCCATGGTTAAATGTCACCACATGCTTGACCATGACCTGGCCCCGTATTTGATATGAGAGAAGTGCTGGTGTGGAGGGTGGGGTTTGGGATGAGAAGATAAAGTTGCGCCCTAAGAATCAGGCAGCACCTCCTGAGTCCTGCAGAGGGAGATGGCAGGCGGTGGGATGATGATGAGCAGCTGTCCTCCTCGTGGGTGGTCACACGGGCTCTTTCAGGCGCGTCTAGTAGAAAACTGAACTCCCACCAAAGGCCTCCAGGGTCGATTGGCTCTGGGTGTGTCCAGCGCAGGCAGGGTTCAGCAGAGGTCCTCAGGATTGGTCACCTGCTCTCACCCAGCCTTGAGGTCCTCCGTGTGAGCTTTGCATGGTGCTCCGGGGAGTTCTGGGCTCTCTAGACCCTGGGCTACAAAGCCACAGACCAGCTTCTGAGCCCGCAGAAGCCTCCGCCTGGGCGCCAGCTGGGGTGTGTGCTTCTCCCGAACCTCTCCTGTGCCTGTGTGGGGTCGGGGGGCTGGGGAAGGAGCCCGGTGCCCTGACTGGCTTAGCGGTTGGGGGAGAGGTGGTTCCCGGTTCTCCCGCAGCCGCTGCCCGGGCGAGGGCTGGTGAGTGAGCCTCTGTGTCCGGGCGTGGGCGCGGGTTCTGAAACCGTCCACTGTTGTCCAGCCTGAGGGCCGGACAAGTGGCAGCTGCCACCCACACGTCGGTTGGGGCAGGACCAGGCAGCTGCCAGGTTCTCCTTGGTGAAGTCACTACTCTTTTTTCTTTCTGCAGATTCCAAGCCCTGGAGGAACCCGACAGTAAGTAGCCCTTCCTTGCCCCACCTCCCTGGCTTTGTGCCGCTAATATGGGACTCCTTCACTAACAGAGCCGCTGGTTCTGAGAACTGCTAATGGGTCATTCCCCTCCCCCAGTGACCAGGGTCGGGCTCCCCCTGCAAGTTCAGGCTGAGTCTGCCCCATGTGGGGTGCTCTGAGTACAGTGGGGCCTCTGCCAGGCCCTGGCCTGGGATGGGGAGCCGCGACCCCTCAGCAGTCTCTGGCTCCTGGCTCATCCTGCTGGGGACTTCCAGAAGGGCCTGGCAGACCGTGGATTTGGTTTTGGCTACTTTGGGTGCCAGGTGGGGTCATTTCCCTTTTCTCCTTCACTCCTCTGTGGTTCTCATTCTCACAGCTGGGATGACAAATTCATGGCACGACTCTTTGAAAACTTAGCCATCACGGGGCGAGGGGTGGGGGGCGGGGGGAGGAGAGGCGCCTGGGTGGCTCAGTGGGTGAAGTGTCCGACTCTTGATTTCAGCTCAGGTCATGATCTCAGGGTCATGAGATCAATCCCCACCTTGGGCTCTGCGCTGAGCGTGGAGCCTACTCCAGATTCTCTCTCTGTCTCTCCCTCTGCCCCTCCCCTCCTGCTCACGCTCTCTCTCTCTCTCTCTTTCTCAAAAAAAAAAAAAAAAAAGTGAAAACTTAGCCATCCCGTATGGAGCACTTACCATGAGCCAGGCACCTTGCTTTGTGCTTCTCAGAGTTATCGTGGGTAGTCCTGACAGCACTCAGAGGTTGGTACTGTCGTCCATTTTACAAAAGAAGAAACCCAGGCACCCACAGGAGAGGTGGGTCCACAATTGGAAAGTAGATCAGCGAACCCCGGTTTGACTTGAACCCTGGTTTTTGTGGCTTTAAGCTGGTACCCTGAACTCTTGCCCTGAGCTGGAAGGATCTCTTCACCTGCCTTTTACAAAGAGCTTGCTGTGTGCAGGTGCTGGGCGAGGGGCTTTGCAAACATTACCCTGAACCTACAGTTACCGGGGAGGGGGCCCAGACACCCGGGGCCTCACCGGGCTGGGCCTGGCGCCCTGCTCTGCGCCCAGCCTCCAGGAGCAGCCTCGGGGGCAGGGGGGCGGGGGTGAGAGAAGGGACGTTGCCCTCCGGGGCTGAGGGACGGGGCAGGACAAAGCACTCCATGTGGCTGCGTCTCAGCTGTGTATGGTTCACCCAATTTTTTTTTCCATTTAACAATTTTTCCGTGACTTTCTTTTAACTCAAAATATTCACACATGGAGAAAGGTTTCCATCCTTTAATTTTTTAATATAACAGAGCCACAATATGAGTTCAGTTTCAAATTATGGGAGGTCACATTCAAATATGCTTGGGTCAGATAAGTGGCTGTTACAACACTGGGAAATTTCATGAAAAAGGCATTTAATGATTTGTGAGGTAATCAAACATTTTTTGGCCATGGGAATCAGTGTTTTCACTGTAACTTGTTTAAAATGCCGTCTTTTGGACTTGAGATGATTATAAAAGGGTAATCAGGGTTGTGTAGATATACTTTGTGAATCACTCGAACTCATTCCATTTTGAAGGCTGGAGGTACATAGTATGCGTTAGAACATTTCATGAGACCACTCTAACTTTATACTTACCTATAAAAGTCAAAAACGAAACCACCATTTTCCTGAAGATATAGCTATTTTTAGAATACATTAGTGTCATCATACCCGATCGCTGTCCCAGGAGGTCAGGGCTGGGGAGTTGGGGTGGGTCTGGAGTGCACACTTACCCACAGGGGCTTATAAGCATGGATTCCAGAGCGAGGTGCCAGGGTTCAGGTGCTGGCCCACCCACTTACTTGAGCAAGTTACTTGACTTCTCTGTGTCTCAGTTTCCCGGTCTGTAAAATGGGAAGGGTGCTAATATTAGCCACCTTAGAGGGTGGTTGTGAGGATTCACACGTGTCAAGGCCACACACATGGCAAGCACTGTATGGGATTCTGGCTACTACCGCTATTTGGTACGAGTTAAAAGCAACAGGACTTCTGAAACTCAACACAGGGCATCAGGCTCTCAAAGCCGAGAAGCCGTGGGTGGTGTGCGGCAGCTTTAAGGCAGAGAGGGAGACTCACTGGAGTCTACAGAGGTGAAGAAACAGGGGCTTCCCAGGCTGGTTGAGGCACCCTGCATCAACTCCACACCCTCTGTGCCCACAGCAGCTGAAGAGCATATCGGTGGTGGAGTCAGGCATGAAAGAGCTGGGGTTAATGAGCCCCCCGGCTGTGGAGACCTCCCCCAATGGGGCAACCTGCCTAGAGAGCATGCGGCTGCTGGAAGCCAGCCCCCCCGCCGCCGGGAGCCCCTCATCCCCCAGGGACCTCCCCGAGCCCCGGGTGACCTCGGAGCATACCAACAACAGGATCGGTGAGTCTGCCGATTTGGAGGGTCCTGGTGTGGTCAGGGCTGAGGGGGGCAGGGGGAGCTGGGCACTGGACCCTGGGTCCCCGATGGGAGCCAGAGACCCTGGGGCAGGAAGGCCCAGCGAGGAAGAGGCGTGGGTTCTCCTACTGGCCCTTGTAAGTAGGGGCAGCTTTTTGTGGGAGAGTTAAAGCTTGTTCCATCTCGGTAGCCCAATTTAAATTTCTGGAAAATCGGTGTAGTAGTGATTCGGCCCTCACAGGGCCATTGCAAGCATTTGTGAAGTTGTCTGGGTGGGTAGGGGTGAAGGTGGGGGACGGGCTCCCCCTTCCCCGGGGCCTGCCAACCTTGAAGTGAGACGTGAATGCTGCCCCCACCCCCAGCAAAGAGCCCCTTGCGGGGACAGGAGGAGACATGCCAGTGACAATAAGACCAGCCACTTGTCTGGGCCGAAGTCTTCTCTTGTCACGTGGCCTTCTGAGGACAGTGTCTGCCTCCCCTTTTCACACCCGGGGCAACGGCACTGTGAGGTAGGTGCGGGGAGACGTTCTCTGTCACATAGCTGCGGGGTGGCAGAGCAGGGACTCGGCCTCACCCCATGCCTGCGGGGCTCTGAACCCCTTGGCGTGCCCACCCCGGCGCGGGCCTCTGCAGACGCACTGAGGCCAGCCCTTCCAGAACTGCCGCCGCCCTCTGCCTCAGGCAGACCTTCCGCTTTGGCCTCCCAGGGGTCTCCCTGACTTCTCTCCACCCTTGCACACCCAGAGTGTCTCCACCAAAATTCAAGCCTGTCCCTTCTGCACCCCTGCTTCAACCCTCCCGGGGGGTGGGGGTCCCTGTCACTGTCAGGATGAATTCCAGAATTCTTATTCTGGAGGTCAGACTGGTCACTGGTCACGAGCTGCCTCCTCCCCGCAGACTCACCTGCCTCCTGACCCCTCCGGCCTACTTCGCCCACCCACTGGCAGTTTCCAGAGTTTCCAGAGCCTTCCCTCCCTTTGGAGCTTCTCTGTGGGAGCTGCTTCCTCACCTGGGACAGCCAATTCCCCTTTGAATCTAGTCAATTCCGGATGTCCTGAGGCCCCTGCTTATTTGCCTCCTCCTCCAGGAAGTCTTCCTGGCCCTTTCCGCTCTCCTATCTGGACCAAATGCCCCTCTGCTGTGCTCCCTCAGACCCTGGGCCTCCAGACCCAGTATCCTCAGGCCCCAGCAAGTATGACTGTATTTGCGGCCTCCCCGCCTCCTCGGCCCCACCTGACTGTGAGCTCCATCTCTGTCTTCTCTGGAGGGCTAACCATTGCTGGGTTAATACCAGAGAGGCATCTGTAATTGTCCTACACATTTCCATAGCACGTGTTGGTGGATAAAACTCTTCAGGGCGGGGTCTTTCATATGAAACCGAAACTTCTGGCATCGTAGCTTCAGCAAATTTTATTTAGAAAGAGTGTTATTTGGGGCAGTACCACCAAAGGCGTCTCCTTTAAATTTCCTAAGAAGTCCTAACTTGAACGTTTGGGTCTGTGCTGAGTGCAGTGCCCGGAACTGCGGGGGCAGGTGGAGGGAGGTACCGGGCTCCCAGGATGGCTGGGGTGCGACCTGTTAGCCTCGCTGGGAAGCAGAGTGGTTGGGAGAGAGGGCCTTGGAGGTTCGCTCAGGAGCCTTTCGTCCTTCTGACACCATCCCAGGGGGCACCCCCCTGCCCCACTGAACCTGTCTAGTACCCCAGGGGGACCAAACTGCAGCCTGAGCTTTATCCCTCTGCCCCTGGGCACCAGGCAGGGGGAGCCCCTTCACCTCCCACCCCACCAAGATAACTTCCCTGGATTCTAGAGCTCTGGGTGGGTAGAAGGTTCAAGCAGCTCCTGAAAGACCCTCCTTTCCCCTCCCAGCTTGTGGTGGGGGCAGGGTGGGGGCGGGGGGAGGGCAGCCCTGTGATGAGGGATAGAGTCGAGCAATCAGGACCCTCAGAGGTGTGGGAGGGATAGCCTGTCCCCTGGCTTTGGCTTCTTCAGACAAACCCACCTCCACTTCTCTCCCACCCTGCTCCCTATGCCTCATCGTTTGCTCTAGCCTTGTCTGGCTGCTCTGTGCCCTGTCTCGCTCCCCAGGGTCCCCCCTCTCTCACCACCTCTGGCTCTCACCTCTTCCTAGCCCCTCTGCTCAGGCTCCCAGGGCAAAGGGCCTGCAGGCCTTGGTGGAGGGTGTGTGGCTGGGGACTGGGGCCCTGCTCTCTCTCTTGGGGTGTGTGAGGGGCACCCAAACCACATTTGTAGCTTTCCTCTGGTCCTCGCTGCTATTTTGAACACTTCCCTTTTTCCTGGAGGTATTAAAAACCAAAACAGAAGAACCAGCATTCTGCAGTGGGGTGGCGGGTGCAGGGCCCTCAAGGATCTTTTGGGTGTTCCTAAATCAGAGGGGTATAACTGGGTGACCCAGAGAGATAGGGGTCCCCAGCCCCCCTGCTCCACCCTAGCTTTCAAGTTCCCTGTTGAGCGTCCTCATTCAGACTCCAGAGAGAGTCCCAGGGCCAAGCTGCTGGGAACTGGGACCCTGCCCCGAGCTCAAGGCCATCAGAAGCTGGGCTGAGTGAAGGCCAAGCTCCTCACTTCCCAGCTTCTTGGGCAGCTTACTTAACTCCCCTGAGTCTCTGAAGGCCCCCCCGCCCCCGGCCCCGTCCCCACAGCAGATGGTGGTGAGGACTGCGGGTCAGGCAAAGCCGGAAGGCCTCAGGCGGGAGATTGGCCACAAGTAACAAACACTGAAATACAGCCTTGAGTGAACCACAGGCTGGTGTTGGTTATTTTTTTTTTTTTTTTAAGATTTTATTTATTTATTTGAGAGAGAGAGAATGAGAGATAGAGAGCACGAGAGGGAAGAGGGTCAGAGGGAGAAGCAGACTCCCCGCCGAGCATGGAACCTGATGCGGGACTCGATCCCGGGACTCCAGGATCATGACCTGAGCCGAAGGCAGTCGCTCAACCAACTGAGCCACCCAGGCGCCCCTGGTGTTGGTTATTAAGAGGGCTGGGGTTCTTAGACTGTGATCAACTATCTGGATTTACCTGAACTGAAAAGGTCCACAGGCCACAGGCCCTTCACTACGACAACCAGGAGCAGCCCGGGCAAGCCGGAACACGTTGGTCACCCCAGGTTTCCGATGTAGGCACGTGGACAGGAGTGGAAAGGGCAGCTAGTCGGGTGGGAGTTTCTGCCGAGATTTCGACTAACTGCCTGGCAACTTTGGGCCGGTCATTTAACCTTTCGGGGCTTTAGATTTTTTGTATCTGTCCACGGGGACAAGAGTAGACTGTCTACCATGCGGCAGTGGTGTGAGGACTCAGTCACGTGTGGAAGGTTCTGGACGGTGGCCAGCATGGCTGCCCTCCTCCGCTGCTCACTGGGGCCGCAGTCCCTCCCTTCTCTGCCCCGGGCTCGCTTTCTCTCCCAACGCTGCGCTCTCCTTCCCTACCCCGTCCCCACCTAAATGCTGAGAAGATCGTGAGTCTCTCCCACAAGGGGCCAGTCCTGGCCCACAGTTTCTAGCTGTTTTATGTCCTTGGGGCCTCAGGACACCTGTGAGGTTGATGGGGCTGGCTGTGCGTCAGAGAGGTTGCGTCAGCTGCCCGAAGCCGCACGGTGGGAGAGACAAGAGTCGGAGCTTGGACCCTCCTCTGCCGCCTCACCCTGTCCGGCTAGGGCTCCGGGCCCCTCACTTCACCCAGTCTTTTGCCTTGCAGAGAAGATCTACATCATGAAGGCTGACACAGTGATTGTGGGGACCGTGAGGACCGAGGTGCCTGAGGGCCGGGGCCTGGCGGGGCCGGCGGGGCCTGAGTTCGAGGAGGATCTGGAAGTGGACCATGCCCCCCACTTCCCAGAGCAGGAGACAGAGCCTCCTCTGGGCAGCTGCGGGGATGTCATGTTCTCAGTAGAAGAGGAAGGAAAGGAGGCCCCCTTGCCCATGACCGTCTCCGAGAAATGAAGCCTGGCCTGGGTTGGGGCTGAGAGGGCAGTGGGGTGCCCCCGGGAGGCCAGGGTGGCCCTGGTGGTACCAGGCTGGTGGCAGAGGCCCCGTGTGGCCTGGACTGAGGTTCCAGCATCCAGGGGTAGAGCAGCCTGGAGCAAGGGGGTTCTGGTGGTCTCCAGGTGCATGCCCCCCCCCCCACTGCTGCCCCCCAGCCCAGACCCTCAGGGAGCCTGGGCTTGTGCAGGAGAGACAACCTAGGGGCTGGATCTGAATGGCAGTGTTTGTTGGAACAGCGGACAGACAGCAGAGACTGGGCACCTTGTCTCCTGCCAGTGCTGGGAAGATGCCCCCCGGGGCCCTGAGCATCACACCGCTGGGGCCAGGGTTCACTTGCGGCGGAGGCATCCCCCTGTGCCTTCTACTCTCACCTGGACTTTGCCGCCATGCCGGCAGCCCCCAGTTACTGTAACGTGGTCCCCTGTGGGCACTGAGCCAGCGCCTGCCACGGTCGCTCCTGAGTCAAAAGGGACGTCAAGGAGTGGGGCGTCGTCAGCTGGCCCCATCTTGGTAACAGCCAGCGCACGGCGCTCTGTGCCCTGTGTCCCGGTGAGTGCCCAGCCTGGCCCCCAGCCCTGCCAGGGCTTGAGTGAGACCCTCCTGGTGCTGCCAACCCTCCCCTATTCTGGAGCCCCCATGGTGTGCTGGAGGCCCGGGGTCACTGCCTTGTCTCACAAGGTCCCCACCAGTCCCCTCCATGGGAGGCATCTTGGGACCCAGAGGTCTGCAGATGCTCAGCAGCTGTAGCGCCCTGCCCCCGCCAGAGACCCTGCCCAGCCAGCTGCCGCCTGGAGAAGGGCCTGCTGAAGGGGAGCCCTGGGCCCTTCCTGGGTCCTTGCCTGCTCTGTGGACACCTCTGCTCTGTCCCGTGGAGATGCGCCTTCCCCACACCTGCCACGCCCACGGAGCCCAGTGGCCTCCACCCTGCCCTCGCGCTCCAGCCGCTCAGCACCCATGGCTGGGATACGGATGTCGGAAAGCAACACCATTTCGTCCAGACATTCCGCCTTATTCCGGATTCTCAGAAAAGCAAGTAGTCCAGTCTGGACTTGAGGACTTTTGCATTTCACGCTAAGGAGTAAAGCTGTCCCGACGTGGGTCTGCTGGCCGGCTCTCCCCAGGGCTTTCAGACTCATGTAAACAAACAAGGGGCCTTGGAGAGGGACGTGTGGGCAGATGACAGGGCTGCCCTCAGCTCAGGCTGTTCAGTCTCGGCTGCCTGGAGGCCCCTGGAATTACCCACCGGAGGCCAGGCCCAGGAAAGCTGCTGTTTACCCGCCAGCCTGCTCACTCTCTGGAGGAAGTTGGGGCTAGGTCAGGAATCACAGGGTAGTTTCTGAAACTGCTCAGATGTTTGGGGGAAAAGGTGGAGAGGCTAGGACACCGAGAGGGACTCACACCAGAACCTGAAGACGTTGCCATGTGGTGGACAGTATTTGCCCGGATGTCTCGTGCAGGGACAGCGCGGGCACACCGCGCCTGGTACTCCGGCTGGAAGGGGCCCGAGGACGCCCCACCCCGCTTAGCAGGGCACTGACAGTCTTGGCTTGAAGATGTGGACCCCATGTTGGACGAAATGAAGCACTCCCTTGCCCAAAGTCCCTTCACAAAACCTCCGATCCTCTGAAACCTTTGATCCTCAGGAAATTTGTAAGGTCCCTTAAAGATAACCAATTGTAAGTTTCAGGAAACGATCTTTGAGATTGAGTATTTGAGAATGTCTGAGCAGGAATGGCCTGGGCAATGTCTCTCCCCCCAGAACAGGGGCTCCCTCTTCATCCCCCTACCGAGGTGGCCAGCTTCTATGCTCTGTGCCCTGTGTCGAGGTGAGTGCCCAGCCTGGCCCCCAGCCCTGCCGGGGCTCGAGTGAGACCCTCCTGGTGCTGCTGCCAGCCCTCCCCTATTCTGGAGCCCCCACAGTGGGCCTCGGGTCACTGACTTGTCTCTCAAGGTCCCCACCAGTCCCCTCTGTGGGAGGCATCTTGGGACCCAGAGGTCTGCAGATGCTCTGTGCAGGGAGCCTGCTACCTGCTGGGGCAGCTGTTCCCACTGTGGGAGGTTCTTCTTTAGCCTCAGAGGCAAACCCTTCCTCCACGTAATTCCCACTCCCTGGTCTAAGACTTGTCCTCTGAGGATATTTAAAAGAAAGTCTCTCTTGCCATAAATCTCCCTTTGGGTATTTGTAGAAAGAGATCCCGAGCCTCCCCGTGGCCCTCCCTCTGGACTGGGCCGAGCTGCCCCGCAGCTTGGGAAAAGGGAGTTCCAAAGTAGCAGCATGAATGCCCAGCTTTGGGGGCAAGGAGAGGACTGAGGGGTAAATGGAAGCCTTGGACTTGGGGCCTGAGCTGGAAAGGGCCCAGCCTGCAGCCCTGATCACAACTCAGGGCCAGTGGGGGACCTGCTCCCCACCCCGGGCAGCCGGCCTGGAGTTCCTCTCTTGACTGTGGCGCCCCTGTGGGGTGGACGGAAGAGACAGAGGGCTGTGGTCAGACCTCACCCACCCCATCCCCAGGACTGCAGCTCATGCCCAGACCTCACAATCAAACCCAGCCATTTACCCAGTGTTTCCCTGCCACGTGGTTGGTCCAAGAGCTGGGGCGAATTTCCCTGCCCTGACCAGTGATCAGGGACCACTTCTTAACCTCTGTCCGTTCTGACGTCCAGGTGGGCAGAGGACTCAGGGTGGCAGATGGCGGGCCGTAAGGGAGCCTCCCGCGCACGAGTGACATCCCTTTTCCTGAACACTTGTGTTCAGGGAGTGATGGTAAGTGATGTGTCCTAAGGAAGCTAGGCAGGCTGGTAGGTTGTAAGCTGTTTTCGGTTTGTAGAATCTCTCAGGCCAGGGCCATTCCCTGAAATGGAACAAGAGGCTGAATCTCCAGAGCCTCTGTGTCCTCTCACCGCGCCCCAGGGCTGAGATCTTGAAGAGTAGTCACCAGGGACTGGCTTGTTGGGCTAAACAGAAATGAAAATCTGGGCAGGGACAAGGCAGCTCTCTGGCTGCAGGTTCTTGGGTGCCTTCTCTCCCACCCACGCTCTTGACTCTGTCCTCTAAGAGATAACAGTGGGGCAGGTATAGGGTGGGAGGGGCAGGGCCTGAGACGGAGATGAACTCAGGGCAGAAGGCTTGAGTAGAGGTCGAAATGAGAACATTAAAAGTTTCGAGGTCGGCTCTGTGGGCCTCATGAGGAGCTGGCAGAGCCCACCTCGGGCTCCTACATCCCCGCCCCCCAGCACGTCCTTCACCCTGGCCCGGCCCCCGTGCTGGGCGCACACCCTGGGGCCATGCCCAGGGACTTGCTGTGAGCAAGGTGCAGGCAGAGAGGCCTGCCCACCACTCTCTGGAGCATAGACAGAACAGCGATGAGCAGGTGGGGATGACTTCTGAGGTCAGACTTGGGTCTACCCCTTACCAGCTGGGCGATCTTGGTTATGGGAGGCCCAGGGGGTAACACGGGTCCGGCTGTTTCCTGGTCTTCGAGGTGAGGGTATCACCCCTATCCGGTAGGGTCGTGGGGTTCTGTTAGAGGCCACCTGGTCTGTGGCTCATGCTTGCTGCTGGCCACCTGTGTCCTGGGTGCAGCGTGGTTGCCACCTGCCAGGAGCGAGTCCTTCCTAGGCTGGCAGAATTCAGCTCCAGGTAACCTTTGAAAGGTGTTGTAATTGGTGGTTGGTTCCAGTAAGCCTGTGGTGGCTCGGGTAAGGTTCACCATGGCTTTCAGGATCTCCTGGGACCTGGCCTCCCTTGCCACCAGGTTGCAGTGGGAAACCCCACAGTGAGTAGACCCCTTCTTGCTCTGTGGGGTGCCCTAGAGAACCCCTCAAGGCAAAGTCCTAGGACTGGGCTGCTCGTTAGATGTCTGAAACTCAGGTGTTTGCGATGTGCTGTGGGTCCCTCCGCAGGGGACTTTCTGCTCATGGTTCTAGTGCATTCCAGTGCATTGCTGCTTAAGATCTTTCTTCAGTGGCCTCCCTCGCCCCCTTCTTCCCTGTCTCCCATCCTTTTAAAAACACCTAAGATGAGCCAGGCCCAAGTCTAGCTGCAGAGGATATACTGCACTCAGACAGACTTGCTGGCGTGGGTCCTGTGTCTGGTGGATGGAGACTGATGACAGTACCTAACTGATCAGTGAACAGGGTGATTCCAGAATTCATCATGCTGTGTGCTATGAGAAGCCCCCATTAGGTGTCTGTGGCAGAGTGTCTGTAGGGGAGGACCAGCTCCAGCCAGGTGGCTGGGGAAGGCTTCTCAGCGGAGGTGTCCCCTGAGCTCAACCTGAGTGACATGACAAGCTGGGGGCGGGGAGGGGCTGGGGACCTGGGGGCAGAAGATTCTGGGAAGTTAGGGGAACAGCAGGTGCAAAGGCCCTGAGGTGGGAATGCTTCTGGCCTTGAGATTCAGGAAGCACTGCCCAGCGGTAGAAGCCGGGCAGAGAGAAAAAGGAGGTGAGTGGGGAAGCCAGCCGGCCGGATCACTTAGATTTTATCGTAAAAACATCGGTCCACGGTTATGTCCTTTTTCTCTATTAGAACAATAAACATCCTGGTATTATCTTAGGACTAGGCATCAGAGGCCCAAGCAGAGGCACCAAAGGTTGTTTTAACCTATTTCTGAGGGAAGTCTAGGAAAGAGGCAGCGGTGGCTGGGCGCCAGGAGGCAGTTGGCTGAGATTTCTCAGAAAAGGCAGAGAGTTCAGACTGCATTCCTGGCTGATGGCAGTGCAGGGTCCATGGCTGACGTCCTGCGGGGGACTGGGAGCCGGGGAGTCTAGGTTCCCCTTTCTTTGGGTGTTTTCCAGGAGAGTAAAAACCACACCAAAAATTCCTGGGGGAGGCTAGAGCCTTTGTTTGTGTTTGGGTGCGGGGGTGTGGGGCCTCTTTGGACCCCGGCCTGCACGCGCCCCCTTCATTCATAAGCCCGACTTCTCCTGCCCAGGAAGGGCGCGGTTCCATCAGGG